TATATATATATATATATATATATATATATATATATATATATATATATATATATAGCACATAATTTCTAATAAAATATTTACAGTCAAATAATTCATTCAGTATAGTTATCAACAATGAACTGATTCAATAAGTTAGAGTGAGAATTAGAGTGAAAATATATTTTGTCTCGCTCTAACTTATTGCACCAGTTCAGCAGCGCAGCTACAAAGAACAGAGTATAACTCATACCGAGTTTCCGAACACCTAATCTGAGCCGTAGCGCCTCTGGCGACAAATACGTCAACCTGGACATTTTCTCAGACGACGAATTCCTTAATTGTAAAACTTAGCGATTTCGGACTTTGAGCTAAAATATCTTAGGTTCTAGAAAACGTAGAGCAAAAGTAAATACAGTTTTATTAACTAACATAAACCCAAGGAATCGATTGAGCCTATCTAGAATCTCATCGGCTCAACCGTTATGGTTAAACAAGAAATCTGGTGTGTATTCAACTAGTGTCGCGGCGTTAGTATACACGGCCGTTTTGCGCTTGCACTTGGCTTCGCGACACTGCCGTGTCGCTTGATAGAGTAGGTTTATGTGATTAGGTGTTTGGCGTTTTTTCGTGGTTGATACAAAACGCCGTGTATTAGGACAGGTTAAACATGCGGCTCGTGCTCTTGCCGTGGTTTGATTTTATTTCTTCTCCCTCGCTTTTCTCTTTCTATTTCTTTCATATCTTTCTGTCTTCATTCTCTTTGAGAAACGAGGATGCAAAAGGACGTACAAAAAGAAGACAGACAAAATATGAAATAACAAACAAATAGGGATATAAATATAAAGACAAAAAGTTAGAATAATAGAGAAGGAGGCAGTGGAGAATACAAAATAATTGATACAAAAAATATAGTTATAATATATGAAAAATTTGTACATTTTGTAAGAAGCACAGGAAGAGAAATAAAACTTATATTCTTGTGTGTTCCACCATTGAAGAAGTTGAAGAGGTAGTTATATTTGGTATTAACAATTCCTGCATCATCTCATCAATTTTTTCTATAACGTCATCTTCGTCTTGTTGGTCACTTCGCTTCTTATAAACTTTTTTCGGCATTATTAATATATATTACATTATGTTTGTATGTATTGCTAAGTTATCCCTTACTTTTGTATAGCTGTTACATTTATTTATTAATGTTCACATGGAAACGTAAAGAGAAACAAACAAAATAGCTACCGTTTATAATAAAGAGAGTTAGTGTTATACACATATTTTAATTCGATAATTCAATTAAATATTCTAATCCTTTAACAAAACACAAAAATATAAAACCGACACAAAGCATCTCCATATCAGTACTCGTCAATATATATTTGTATATATCGTCAATAATACTTATCTGATTTCCTCTATTTATTTTGTTTTCCTCTGGTCCTCTTCGTATATTTTATTGAATTGGGGTGTGCTCCCTCACCTGCCGTATTCGCCGGACATTGCTCCTTCGGATTATCACTTGTTCAGGTCGATGGCGCACGGATTGGCCGAGCAACACTTCGCTAATTTCGAAGAAGTGAAAAAATGGGTCGATTCATGGTTTGCTTTGAAAGATGAAAGTTTCTATCGTCGCGGAATCCATCTTTTGCCAGAAAGATAGGAAAAAGTTGTAGCGTCGAATGGCGCATACTTCAAATAAATAGCTTTAACCATTTACTTCAAATTAACATGTGTTTTTCCTTAAAAAAAATTCGCATTTCATAGGTATACACCTGGTATATGAACTTTTTTACTTGAAATAAACCAAAGAATCGTTCTGTTGAGTATGGCAACATACTTAACTAATACTATATAATATTTCTTAATTAATGCATTCCTGTTATCATCATAGCCATCATAACACGCGTTGGCTATGATGTTGTAATAGGAATATGATAATTAAGAAATATTATATATTTAGGTATTAGGACCTTGAATAAGTTCTCACTGATTTTTCGTGAAAATTAATGCTTTATTTAAAAAAAGTCATAAAAAACATGTCATTAAAAGTATTGTCTATCACTAAAAGTAGTGGCTAGCCACTACTTTTTCCCATCTTTCTGGCAGCATTTAAATTCCACGTCGAAAAAACGACACATCTTTTAAGGCTATCCAAGAGTCGATCTATTTTTTGGCATCTTCATAAGAATGAAAGTGCTGCTCAGCCAGGCCATATGCCATCGATCGGAACAAGTGATAATCGGAAGGGGCAATGTCTGGTGAATACGATGGGTGGAGTAGAACTTCCCATTTAAGCGTTTCCAAGTAGGTTTTCACCGGTTGTGACCGAGCGTTGTCATGTTGCAAAATCACTTTGTCATGTCTTTGCTCGTATAGCAGCCGTTTTTCCTTTAATGCTTGGCTCAAACGCATCAATTGTAGTCGATAGCGATCTCCCGTGATGGTTTCGTTCGGTTTGAGCAGCTCATAATAAACTACTCAGCTGATCCCACCAAATGCAGAGCAAAAGCTTCGAACCATGGATATTCGGTTTTGCCGACGATGTTGATGTATGCCCGGGCTTATCTCACGATCTTCTACGTTTATGGTTATCGTAGTGTATCCACTTTTCATCGCCAGCCACGATACGATGCAAAAAACCTTTCCTTTTCTGCCGTTGAAGCTGTTCATACGTGAAAAGATGTCGTTCGACGTCTCTCGGCTTCAACTCGTACAGCACCCAATGTCCTTGCTTTTGAATTATTCCTAATACTTTCAAACGTTTCGAAACTGTTGTGTGATCAACTCCTAATGATTCTGCAAGCTCAGCTAGCGTCTGACATGAGTCTTCATGAAGTAATGCCTTCAATTCTTTGTCTTCAAACTTTTTCGGTGCGCCAGAGCGTTCTTTATCTTCAACATCAAAATCATTATTTTTGAAGCGTCTAAACCAATCTCTGCATGTTGTTTCCGACAGAGTATGGTTGCCGTAAGTCTCAACAAGAATTCTGTGTACTTCAGCTGCAGATTTTTTTTGAATAAAATAGTGCAGTAAAATTCCCCGCAAATACTCTTTTTTTGTCACGAAACTCGACATGTTTAACACTATGAAAAAAAAAGTTGTTTACACTTCGGCGAAATGACATACACTGAATTTCAAGTTTGCTTATAGTACTTCCTTATAGATGCGTTACCATCTTAAACTACACGCCCGCAGTTCTGGTAACGCCATTTGTTGGAAAACAGCGAGAACTTATTCAAGGTCTTGATATATTTTATACATTTCTATTTTATCCTTTATCTTTCAATGTAACTAAAAAGAGTTGAATACTTTTCCTCACGCTTTATATACTTTCATATATACATATTCAACGATACTTATCTGATATTTTTCTCCTTTCTTCTTCGTAAATTTTCTTCGACAGTATCAGAGGACGGACTATATTAAGTACGTCCTACAATAACTGTAAGAGTATTGTCTCGTGCAAACAGGACGCGGCAATGCTTGCCGCGCTGCAGAAGTTCACGCGACAGCCAATCAATATACTGCTTTCCGTAATAATCTTATAGGTCTCATGGAAAAACAACATATTTACTGGCTGACCCACGAACTTCCGCCGCGCGGCGTTGCCGTGTCCTGTTTGCACGAGACAATACTCTTACAGTTATTGTAGAATGTGCTTAATATAGTCCGTCATCTGATACTGTCGAAGAAAATTTACGAAGAAAAGAAGAGAAAAATATCAGATAAATATCGTTGAGTATGTATACACGAAAGTATATAAAGCATGGAGGAGATGCTGTGTGTTGTGTTCAACTCCTTTTAGTTCTTTTAACCCTACAACATTTGTTTCAAATATTTTTATAAAAAATCATTATTTTTTAAATAATTAGCCATTCCAGAACTTTTGGCAAACTCTATATAACTGTTAGGACTATAGCACACAGAAAAACGGAAGCAATAAAATGTAAGCAGAGAGGAAATTGTAATTGATAATTCTTTGACAGTAAAGAATATAATCAATTGTGATGAATGTATTAATGTAAACCTGTGTCCAATCGTGCTGTGGTCAATTGGGTCCCACCCAGCTTGTCAGATATTTGGATTGATTGTCGGTTAGAGAATTTCTGGGGTGCCTAACTTTTCTTTATGAATTCCGAAACTTTTCTATCTGACAGCCAATTAAGACATCCGACAAGCTCGTTGTACGACATATGTAATCTTAGTCTTTGTCGTTAAGCAGAATTGATAGAATTAACCAATCATACTGCATATTTAATCGGAAAGTGAAGTTAAACAGACGTTGCCGAACTGGATCCTAATTCTCGAAAATATATCGATATTTGGTAAAATACTATAGTTCATATACTATAATATTTCACCATGTCTATGTTCCAAAATTCACTATCAATACTGAAAATCTACAGTGTGTCACATATACTATACATTGGTGTTTTCCAGTTACGTTTTGTGTGTTACACAAAACCAATATATTGGTTGTATGTTATCTTACAAGATATTTTAGATAATATGTAACCAATAAACTGGTTTTGTGTACATATGTGTCAAGATATGTTAAGCAATTGGAAAGCACCCATTATCAGTGTTAGCAATGAATTTTTAAACGCAGTCCAAATATCGTGTGTAATATATTTTCGAGAATAAAGGCCCTGGTCCCTGGACCTTTATTCTCGAAAATATATCGCATACGACATTTTATTGAGAATACGGGGTCTGCGTTATTCTCGATAATATGTCGCATATGATATTTGATGAAATATTATAATTTACGTTACATATACTATAGTATTTCACTAAATATCGTGTGCGAGATATTTTCTAGAATAAGGTTCCTGATCCTTGATTCTCAAAAATATATCGTACATGTTATTTGGTATAATGGTATAGGTTATATAACCTATTCTCATGAAATATCACATACGATATATTTTCGAGAATCAGGATTT